TACCTTCTCTCTGCTGGGCCTTGCCTGGGAGACCCTCCCTTCTGGTCTTAAAAGCCACCCCCCTGTCCTCCGTGGGCCTCCTCCCACATCCCCTGAGTGTTCCTGCCTCCAGGCCCCAACCTGGGGATGCTCTGAGCTGTTTGACCCTCTGCCACCTGCAAGGGCCCAGAAACAGAAGTCTGAGGGCTTGACCTCTGGGAGGGGCTCCTGAAAGCCCCACCCCCCTCCCACTGCACTCTCCCCTCCTAGGTCTCTGGTCCTGGCCAGGGCCAGGGGGACCAGGCCCCAGGAGCCCGGGTCTGCGGTCCAGAGCTCTGGATTCTGGCTCCAATCACGTGACCCTGACCCACCCCCCTCTGGGCCTCAGATGTCTCTCGAAAGGGGTCTGGCTGTGACCAGAGGCAAGGAGGGACTTGACAGTGGGAGACGCAGGGGCTGCAAGAGCCTAAGTCTCAGGAGGGCACCCCACCACACCCCAGCAGCCACACCTGCCCAAAGAAACCAGACCAGGACAGACTCAACCTCTCCTCTGGGTCTGGGCATCTTCTCTCTCACGACCCTGGTCCCATTGCTCTGGCGGGGAAACAGGTGTCCAGAGGGCCAGGGCCAGGGCCAAGGTCATGCAGCCGGAGCTCCAACGCTGGCACCTCTCCCACAGCTCCACCTCCACGTGTGTCCGTGAAGATGCTCAGCTGTCCCCAAGTCGGGAAGGGCAGGCCTGGCACCCAGCGTCAGAGCCCTGGGCTCCCAGGAAGGCATGCCGGTACCACAGGCTTCCCCAGGCTTCCCCACGTTCCAATCTTTCCCAGAAGAGTCCAGGCCTTTGATGCCTCTGGAATTTGTACATGCCGATTCCTACACTGTTCCGTGCACGTTCACTCTCCGCCTTCAAGGCCACTTCTCCAGGGACGTCCTCCTCTGAGCCCCCACTCCCCCAGGCGGAGGGAGGCCAGGACGGGGCCAGCCCTGCACTTACGGGGCCTCAGAGGAGGGGTGTGCAGAGGGTCCATGAGGAGCAGACCCGGGGTCAGGTGGACTGACCCCGCCCCCCGCTGGCCAACTCCACACCTACGGTCTCAGACTGACCTCCCCCCACCCTGCCTGAGCTCCCTTTCCTCCTCCCCACCCCAGCCCACCACTAACCTGCTCCACAGCCTTTCCAGGGAGCACAGGCTGCGGCAGAGCCCTCTCCAGCCTGTGCAGGACCCACGCCATCAGCCTGCGGTGGGAGAGAGCGCGGACACTGAGGGAGGGGGGAACAGATCCCTCCCAGGCACAGAGCCAGATGCCAGAGGCTGGCCAGCCCCAAAGCCCAGCAGCAGTGTGCCTCCCAGGAAGCCTCCGGCTGCTGCTCAGCCCCCAGCCAGTGGTGGGAGCACGCAGGATGGGCCCCAACTGCGCAGCCCCTGGGTGGTGCAAACTGCTTGTGCCTCGGCTGCTAACATACGTCATGCAAAGTCAGCAGTTCGAAACCACCAGCCATTCCACGGGAGAAAGATGGGGCTTGCTACTCTCCGAAGGAGTTACCGTCTCTATGGGCACAGAGGCAGTTCTACCCTGTCCTGTGAGGTTGCTGTGAGCCTCCGTCACCTGGATGGCAGTGAGTTTGCGTTGGGTCAGGGTGAAGGTTGGGTGTGGCCTGGGGCAGCTCCTGTAAGAGGTGTGTCCTTCAGGTGGCTCACCTGCCAGGGTCTCCCGGTGGCCGTAGTGGGGTCTGGAAGGTAGGCTGGGGCTCTGGCTCTGGCTCTGGCTCTGGCTCTAGCTCTGGCTCCTTCTCAGGTTCCAGGGAGCGGGGAGTGGGTGGGGCGAGGCTCTCCAGGGCCGGCATCATGGGCTCTGCTTCCAGGGAGGCTCTTGGGGGCTCTTTAGCAGCAAGGAGAGCAGGAGGTGACCAACTGCACAGTGAGGGCCAGGGCAACCCCTCCAGGGCCCAGGGTGCTGGATCCGAGGGGCCAAAGCAGCTGAGTAGGGAGACCCTTGAGACCAACCACTCATCATTAGATAGACATGGAAACTGAGGTCCCAGGGGGAAGGCTTCATGAACCTGTACTAGATCTATGTCTCCTAGTCTGGGCAGGGAAGGGGTTTCTGTGTCCCGCACCAGCGGCCCCTGGGAAGCCCTGAGCCCTTCTCTGGCCTGGGTAAGGGCTAAGGCCTGCCGGTCCCACTCAAGCACCCCAGAGTCTACTTTCTCCCCTAACCCAGCCCAAGACGGTCCCGGGCTCCCCTCCCTTTACCTGGCTCCAAGGCAGCGTCTGCAGGCTTGTCCCTCCAGCCCTGGATCATAAAGCAGGATTGGGCTACAGACCAGCAAGCCCTGTGCTGCCCTGGCCCGGCCAGCACAGCCCTCCTTCTGAGACCCACACCTCACAGTCTCTCCTCTCCACACAAACAGCCCTCAGCCCCCAGAGACCCTCAGGTGAGGACAGCAGCCCTCAGGCTCCATGGGACCCCTTGAGGTAAGGACACGCTCCTGGGGCAGGCAGGTCCTTCCTGGGATCCCAGAAGTCCCCACCTCCCCACCCCAGTGTCTGTTCCCTCTTTTCAACTCACCTCAGATGTTTTGGGGGGCTGAGGCAGCACTTTCTCCTCCAGCCACCTGAGCAGCCAGGGCGAGGGTCTGTGGAGGGACTGGTGGTCAGCCTGGGGCAGAAGGTCCACCTCGGGAGGGGTGGGGGCAGGCCTGGCACGGCCCTTCCTCATCCTTGGCCCCCATTCTACACACCGGGGCCTGATACGAGAAGCCTCTAAGGCCAGGAGATGAGGGAGCTTGGACTAACCTTAAATCTGACCCAGGGCTTATCCAGGCTCTGGAGCAACCGGCCCAGCCTCAGCCTCTTGGGACAGCAGGCAGCCTGGGGACTCCTGGGGAGGCTGAAAGCACCTCAGAATGCCCCCAAGAGCTAACCGAGCGACCTTGGGGGCCCTGACTGGAAGCCCCCAGGACACATACTCACCCCCATGTGCTGAGCCTCCACTCTGTGGCCAGCACTGTGCTGGGCCCAGACATTTGACAGTGACCAGCACCAAAGGCCCTGCCCTCAAGGAGCCAAAAGCCCCCACTCTCATCCAGTTGATTCTGACTCATAGCAACCCTATAGAACTGAGTATGATCACCTTGTGAGTTTCCAAGACTGTACAAAAGACTAGAAAAGCCTCATCTCTCTCCCTTGGAGTGGCTAGAGATGCCACCCTGGGGACCTAGGCATAACTGACTCCTTCCAGGAGCCAGCAACCTGACAGGTGCAGGAGTGAATGGAGATGGGTACACAAACTTGAACTTGCAGCGAAGATTGCAAAAGGAGCTTTGAGGCCTGCAATCTGGAAACCTTTCGATACCTTAGCAACGTGCACAAATTAAAGATTCTACACTCCGAACTTCTCTTGATGAACCGGTAGATCTGGCCACCCTGGGCAGGCACTCCTGCAGGGGGTCAACCTGTTTCCACTTGTGCCTCAGCCCCTGCCCTACCTGCCTTTCTTACTGACCAGGCAACTACCCTACTCCACCAGCTCGAAGAAGCTGTTGCCCACTGTGAGGCCAGCCCAGGCATCCTGTGCCCTCCAGTGGCCCAGGATCTGTAGATCAGGGCTCCCCACAGAACCCACATCCATGAAGCCCACCAGCAAGGTGCTTATCCATGCTTTCTGTGTATTTAGAGGTGGCCGCCACCAGGATCTTCCAGTTACCAGCACAACAAACCACGTGCAGGACAGAGCCCATGAGGTCCAGAATGTGGTCACACCCCAAGGTGGTGATGGGCTCTGGGCACATTTCTCTGCCCCCCCCACACACACACACATACTACATGCCAGGCTCGGGGGGCTCCCAAACCGGTGCTCACTGACGGAGACTTACTCAGTGTCTTGAGTCTTGGAGGCCTCCCTGGGCCCGTCTGCACAACCTGCAGGTGAGGAAACCGAAGTGGTCAACAGCAGGATGCCCACCAGAGCCCCCAGTCAGCCTGCAGCGGGTAGCGAGAGCCCAACTCATGCCCATGCTCAAAGCCAGGGCCAGACGAATGGGACGCACTGACCCCTTTGGCCTGCTCCATTCCAATAGCACCCTCATCCCACCCTTGAAAAGCCATCTGCCTCCTGGCCTTACCTGGGTCCCCAGTGCTGCAGTGCCCAAGGTGCTGTGTTCCAGCCTGTCGCAACCAGGAACAGACAGACATGAGCCAAGAAGCAGCGGGGTGGGGGTGGGTGGGGGACAAATAGCTCCTACAGGCTCCTCCCCCTTGAAGCCCCGCCCCAGCTCCCAGCCCTGCCCCGTACCTGAGCCTGATCCTCCTCCCTGCCAGAGGCGGGGTTCTGGGCTGCTCCACCGTTGCAGGCCTGCTGGGGGACGAATCTCTCCACGCCCTTCCAGAGCCAATTCAACACCCAGCTGCCAGGACTGTGATGGACAGAGACACCCGCTAGCCTAGACCTGCCTTCCACCCTCTCAGGTCCAAATCCACATCATCCTAAAGAATTGGGTTTGAGTCCCAGACCCCTTCCCACCATGACACTCCTGGCCTGCCACCTCCCCCTCGAACCCTGTGTCCCTCTCTGAAAATGGGGGCGTCTAGCCCTTAGGGCAGGCCCACCTGAGACCATTCCAAGCCCACCTGCCAGTATATGGTGGAGAGCGGCTGTGATTTCTCTGTGAGCCTGCATGTGTTCACCGCCCGGGGCCTCCCTCCCCACCACTACACAGTCTGAGCCCCAAGGGGCCTGGGGGTTCCTGCGGGCGATCTCCCAGTGACTGTAGCTAATCAGCCATAAGCTGAGGCTCATAGACAAGGCCAGCCCCAGCCTGAGATGGGCCACTTTGGACATGCACCACGGGCAGAAATGCTTGTGCAGGTGCAGAAGATGTTGTGCAAACCCCTCGGTTTCTGGCCCATGGGGAAAAGCAGAAGCTCTGGCTACACTGGACCTGCATTTCATGAGAGCGCTAAGAAGTTTCTGGAAGCCCAGGAACCCCTCTGCCTCAAGTTCCATGACCAGAGCTGAGGCAGTGCACGGCCTGTCCCGCTGCCCTGGGGACTGCCTGGTGGGGGGGAGGCTGGACTGAGGAGAGCAGAAACTGCGACATACCGGTTTAGTTCAGGAACCACAACAGCCTCGGCCTGGAGGGATGTGGGTGGATTATGGGCCGCTTCCTGGGTCTCTGGAAAAGAATCCTTCGTGCCTTAGGTCTGGGGCCTTGGAGAGAGCCCTTCTCTACCCTGTAGGGAAGGTCAGTCAGAGGCAGGACAAGGGCAGAGTGGCCGTGGGGTCAGAAGCCAGGTTCCACCTCAGTCCGGTCCCAGAAGCCCACTCTTTGCTTCCCTGAGCCTCGGTTTTCTCATCTGTGAATTGGGGCGGCCAGCTTCAGGCCCTCTGCCAGCCAGGATGTCCACACTCACCCTCAGGGCACGGGCCAGCCAAGGCCACTTCCTCCTCTTCGAATGGCTCCTCGGGTGGCTGGAGGGGTCAAAGAGGACCAGGTCAGCCTTTGGAAAGACAATGTGATTCAGGTAGGGACTGCCCCTCCCACCCTCCTTCCCTCCCCCACAAGGAGTGTCCCTCTTCCCACAGAGCCACACACCTCTAGCCTCCCAATCAGTCATCACTGGAAACTTTGGTGGTCCCACCTCCAACCTGGGCCAGTTCCTTCCTCCTAGCCCCAGGGCCCCTCATCCAGGGCAGAGACAGACCCCCTCACTCTCCCTACAGTGGCCTCTCAGCCTCTAAAACCGACCACACCCCCAAGGAGCTGCAGTGGTGTTCTGGAAGGAGGGTGTGGTGGCTGTTAGACACAGTTATGAAGCCCTGGGCCAAACCTCCCCTTTTGCTCAGTCGCCAGGAGGAGGCTAGCCTGGCCACCTGCCTCTCCTCCTGCTACTGGGCAAGCCTCTCACACACATGCCCATGAGTGCCTGCTCCCATGCACACACCTATACAAACAGACATCCACCTGTGCACAGACACAAGCCCGGACCTGCTCTACATGCAAGCACAGGCACTGGCATGCAAACGTACAGGGACACACCAACATGTGGCTAAACACACACAAATGCAAGTTCCGGTGCAAAAATAAGTGTCCGTGCACACACACATGCCCACATGCATATCCAAGCACATATACATGTGCATACAGGCAGCAGTAAGTGTGGGCATGTACACATACATGTGTGTACAAATATTCACACATGTCTATGCCTGTGTGTGCACATAGAAGCACCTGGACATATGCATACAGATGAGGATGTGCAAATACGTAGGCTCAGAATCATGTGTACATGTATGTATGCATATGCATTTATACGTCCTTCACACTTATGCACAAATGCACACACAAACACATGGATATGTGCACAGATGCAGGCTGTGGGGATGCACATACCTGCAGAGATGCGACTAGGCACACACACATGAATGTACAGACACACAAACATGTGAGCACACACAACACACGTTTCCACAGGTGGAAACATAGGCGTATGCACACACTTATGCACACTGACACACTCCCAGAGTCATTTGTGCATGGTGGGGGGTGTGTAAGCCTATACACCCTATTTGTATACATAAGTGCACAGACATACTACCAAGCATGTGACGCATACCTGTGTGCATGTGAAAATACACAGACATACACTCAAGCTCTATAGTTGAAGGGCTCACTGTTTCCTGACTACAGCCTACTCCTCCCCCACTAAGGGCCTCGCCTTGGCCGGGCAGGTGCCACCCCCTCCACCTCCTCTAGTTAAAATCCTGCCCAGATCTCTTTGTCTAGGGAGCACTCTCTCCCTGCTCTGAGCTTCCCTTCTCAGTCCTGCAGGCCGACTGGCCCCTCCCAGCAGGGCCCAGCTGAGAGCAGTGTTGGGGCCCACCACATCCCCAGCCTCCTGTTGGAAGAGAGCTCACTGGTACCTGTCTGCTGACACCAGAGGCAATGCCTTATCCATCTTTACATGACCAGCTCCGATCACCGGCCTGACATCAATTAGGGTCTAAAGCTACGGGATGAGCTGTGATCGCGGGCCTGACTGGATGACACACAGAGCTGGCAGGTGCTGGTACCCCTGAAGGAGGGTTCTAAAGCAAAACTGCTCAAAGGGTGGTCCACGCCCCGGCGCCACTCTTCCAGCTGTTACTGGTCCACAGCGAATAAGCCTGGTGAGCCAGACTGTGAATCAATGCTGCCTCCTTCCTCAGGAAAGTCTCATCCAAATTAAACACCAATTGTACGCTTAGTAACCTCAGTAGATTTACATGCTGGTGCAAGCTCCTAATCTCATCCTAGATGGGTCCCAAACTATTCAGGAAAGGGGCATTGGGCCGGGAGACCTCCCCGTTTCCCTGGGCCCCAAGACTCTGTCGTGGAAGCTGCCCAAACTGAGAAGTCCCTGAACAGCAAGGCCAGCGGGCTTCTCCCCGCCCTCTGCTTCTCACCAAGGGCTCAGCATCTAGCTCAGCCTTCTCTGGGGATACTTCAGGCTCCGCCTCTGCCTCTGGCTCCAACTCCAGCCCAGGCTCAGGCTCAGGCTCTGCCCCCACCTGCTCCTCCGTCTTGGTCTTCTGAGGGGTCCCTGGAGGCTGCGGCAGCACCTTCTGGACCCAGCGCAACATCCTGATGCCTACAAGGAACAGAGTGCTCACAGCTGCTCCCATGGGTGGCCCACTTTTATGGCTTATGCATGTCCCTTTTCTTTGAATAGCTTTAAAAAAATTTTTTTTGCAATTCTACCTCTGGGTAGTTAACCTTCTAAAACTACTCATGCTCAAAAACGTGTATGTATAAAGAGGCTGGTCTCAAAAGCATTCTAGCAAAAGATTTAAAAAGCCCAACTCCCCAGCAATGGACACTGCTCCGCTTGTTGGAAAATCGAATTGCAGAAAGGCGGGTGTCAAAGGCTTCGACTTGTGGAATAGTACAAAGCCTCGAAGAGGAAGGAAGCAAACGTGTTGGACCTCCCACGGGAGGATGGCTATGCTCTGCAGTTGCGTCCCAAGCAAACCAGCTCAGCACTCTGTGCCTCCGTTTGCTTGTCTGTAAAACGGGCACGGGAATGCCACCACCTAACGGGGGCTGACGGTGAGGGTAAAATGAGCTGAGAAGGCAGCAGCCTCGGAGCGGGGCCTGATTATATATACACTGGGAGCTCACTGAGTGCCTATGGAGATGACGTGGTAGCAAGCGGACACCCTCGTTGTGGGATATCCTATGCAGTCAGTCTCGTGATAAATCCACCTGACTGTACACCGTACCCAAGCTCACGGCCATCGAGTCCATGCTGGCTCATAGTGACCCTGTAGGACAGGGTAGAAGTGCCCCTGTGGGCTACCCAGACCCTAGCTCTTTACAGGAGTAGAAAGTCCCTTCTTTCTCCCAAGGTGGTTTTGAACTGCCTACCTCGCAGTTAGCAGCATAATACATAAACAGATGTTGTTGTTAGGTGCCACTGAATTGTTTCAAACCGACGGGCGTCCTAAGCACAGCAGAAGGAAACGCTGCCCGGTCCTGCGCCATCCTCACAATCATTCCTGTCTTTGAGCGCATGATTACTGCCTTTGTGCCAATCCATCTTATTGAGAACCTTCCTCTTTTTCACTGTGCCTCTACTTGACCAAGCGTGATGTCTTTCTCCCGGGACTGGTCTCTCCTGCCAGCCTATCCCAAGTACGGAAGACAGAGTCTCACATCTGGCTTGAGGACCGTTCTGCCTGTCCTTCTGCGACAGCAGATTTGTGTGTCCTTTCAGCAAACGTGGAACTTTCCGTTTTCTTCTTCAGCGCCACCTTTCAGATGCATGGATCCTTCGCTGGTCTTCCTTCTTAGTCGATTGTGGATGGATTATTTCTCTTTAATATAAGAAAACAAGTCTTCTTTGATGATTTTTTTAAAACGTCTGAGCTAAAATGCCAGGCAAGAGGCTTTGCATGGGTCGATGCCCTATTTCAGTCTTAGCCTCAAAGGATTTGGGTCCTGGTGTCGTTGATGTTCAGTAAATGGGGGCCTCTGCCTTCCCCATGGCCTGGCCGAGGGGCAGCATGCAGGTCAGACCCCAACCCACTGCTCCCCAACTATGGTGGCCAGAGAGTGGCAGATGGCCGGGTGCCCCAGGCTAAAAGGACTTCCCCCAGGGCCCTGTCCCCATCAGCTCACAGCTGTGTCTCTGCTCTGACCCCCCCACCTCTGCTTCTCCCAGAAGAGGCTGGAAAGCAGGATCACTCTGAGTGGAGCTCTGACCCAGGTAAGTCAGAGCCCCAAGACCGTGAACTTGGGCTAGACATGGCCCCTCTGGGCTTCCAGTTCCCTGTGGAATGAGGACTAGAACCCAAACTAGACCGGTGGCCAAGGCGTCAATCCTGACCCCAGACGACGCCAGAGCAGAATTGCTGCAGAGAACCGTTGAGGCTGTCGCCTAGTAGAAGCAGTTTGCCAGACCCAAGGTGCCCCTGGGCCTCTGAGGTCACAGATCCCCGTGGTCCCACTGTGAGTGCTCCCTGCCGGCCAGACTGAGCTCTTCC